AGTATATGAATTATTATTTTTAATATTAGATATGATATTAGATAGCACATATTGGGTCCTTCAGTGGAGACCCCAATGATGTCATTGCGTCTTTACTAGAGGCCTTATTTATCAGCTATTGTAGCAACTGTTCAGACTGCTGTAATTTATGGACTCTAAATTTTCATTCATTCACTCGCTATGGATCTTTGGATTCCTAATGGACAGGAAGGTAAGGAAAAATTTCTGTTTATATGTTACAGGTGCTGCCTGCCTGCCTTCCTTACTTCCTTCCTCCCTTCCTTCCTTCCTTCTTTCCTTTCTTTTTTCATTTAGTCACCATTTTTATGCAGTTCCTCTTACATCTTTATCTGTATTTTTAGGACAAACCTATAATTAGAATAACAAAGTCTTCATGCTTAATCTATGCAAGAGATAAAAACATGTCCCTTTAGAGAAGTATTTGTGGACTGACATTTATGCAGCACTAAGAGGCAATTCAAGGGCTAGAAATTTGGGGCAACATTTTTGAGAATTTATTTTCCTCTACAATAGAAGTGACCTCTTCAAAGTCATTTATTGAATAAGCTTATTCAAACAGAGATATTTCAAACTGACACTTTAGCTTTTACTTTTATAAGTTTGGAAATTTTGAAATTTTTCAAAATTCTCGTGCTATTGTCTGAACTAAGGAATATAGGAAAATTATGGTAGAGCAGAAGCCTGACTTTGATACTGGTTGTAGAAATAGAAGGAAAAGAATTGTGAGTCATTTTATTGGCTTTGTATTTTATGAGCCAAATGCAGTAGAAAAATGGAGAAAATACATAAAGAAGAGAATTCCTTTGAGTACATAGACTAGTTAGATATCTTTTTTGGGGGTAAAATATTTTACTTCTAAATTGTAGACTGAAATGGTCCAAAATCGGGAGATTTATGGTAGATTAGCTAAATACTATAACTAATAATAAACACTTATAATTAAATATTATAACGCCAGATAAATTAATTCACTCTTCAAATTCTTAACATAAAAGTTTGAAGTTCTTTGGATTTAATTCAAAATATAATTCAATATGAAAACCCAGTATGGATTGACTTTCCAATTATATTTCAAAAGACAATAAACCACTGCCTTCACATATCAAGTGGGCAAAAAAAAAAAAAAAAAAAAGGAAATACCGGAATCATCAGGAAAAAATAACATGGAACATGATTATGATTCTTTTAAAACTATTCTAGGCATACTTTATTTTATTTTTTTAGAGACAGGGTCTCACTCTGTTTCCCAGGCTGGAGTGCAGTGGCATGATCATAGCTCTCTAAGCATACTTCATATTTTTTGGCCTCTTTAATGCATTTATTATGAAACTTTAAATATATGTTAACAAATTTAACTTTTCTTTTTTAGAGTATTGACTTATTTTAATTAAATGGTACTTATGCATTGTAAAACATCAAGTAATACTCAACCACAATAACAAAAACAACCCAATTCAAAAATGGGCAAAGGACTCGAATAGACGTGTCTCCAAAGAAGATATACAAATGGCCAATAAGCACAAGAAAAAGACACTAACCAC